CCCAATGTTCCTGTCCTACAGCAATTTACAGGGAACATGCCAAGTGAGCCCTTTAATAGTAACCTGGCAGAAGAAAATGTGACTAATGTTTAATGTTTTGTATCTCTGTATTAATCTTTCTGCTCTTCTATAGCCCATAAGAAAATAGTGTAGTACTGCAAATAAAATCAATTTCTCACCTTTGCACAAGAGAACGACGATCACAGAAAAACAGCACACAAACTGTTGGAGAGACATTGTTAAGTACACCAGTTTTAATTTGACTTCAAGTATTAAATATGGAAATCCTGGTGAACTCCACCCACGAGCTCATGCCTCCACACTTGTCCTTGCCCTCACTGACCACTGGACCTACATAAGCAACAAAAGACAAGGAACCAGGTCAAAAAAGTTGGGCTTGATGCTGTTGTGGAAGTTTCCATTTAATAAAGCCTGCAGACAAACGGTGAGTGGAAGCTAACCTCCTTTAATCAAAAAAGAACAAAAATCCAAGCTTGGTGAGAGGAGCCATTACGGGAAGAATGACAAGCAGAGTCTCTCCTGAACCCAGCAAAGTCCTGAGTTTAAATGCCTTCTACAGAAACAAAAAGCAGTACAATGCTGTTTTCACACATTTAGTCTTCCCCCAAAGAAAAGTTCACACACTCTTGTTACCTCTCACAGTGTTGAAGAGACAAAAGACTCTTCCTGTGGGAGATCAGATAAAATCACCCAGCTGTTTAAAGGCATGAATAAGGTGTGAGACATTGAGACATGCTAAAACCCAGTGGCACCAAAGCATTATACAATAAATAACAATGCGTTTACATGAGAACAAAGTTCATATTCAAAAGATGAATGGATAAGTGAACATGAATGAAATAATTACCCAGATTATTTTCCTGAGAAACACTTCCTTCAACCAGCAGGTGTGAATATGAGACCGTATCTATGTCATGACATGGAAAATCTATGGAGATAAAACATTAACTAAACTATAAAACCAAGGTAATGTTTTAATTATGACATCATTCAATACTTTGATTATTTTTAGGTATGATTATTTCATTTTCATTTTCTCATTTGAAAAGCTGCATATTGTAGATACATGCTCAATAAGGTGAACTATTTCTTCTGTCAAAAGGAAGGACTTACTGTAACATACGACTGTTGTTATGACGTGTTTTTTCAGGACTTAAGAAATGGGCTTGGATTTAGTCTAAATATTTGATGTTACATTATATAACCACTTTGATGCAAACTAATTTGTCTATTCTTGTGTGATGTCATGAATAGAATTTCTGAGAAAAATAATCTCGAATGCATTGCCATTCTGCAAAAGGAAAAACAAATAATATGATGTATGTTTGAAATGTTACACCCATTTAAAGTGTAGATGTATTGAGGCTTCATTCGTCCACAGCTGGCCCTGAACAGAATGTAATGTCTGTGAAGGTTCTCAGTCATCCAGGTTATCGTAGTCAAAGGAGCTTGCAAAGAAAAGCGTCTGGACTTCTTTAAGTTGCTTGAAGACGTTTCACCTCTCATCCGAGAAGCTTCTTCAGTTCTAAGGTCAAATGGTGGAGAGTCCCAGATATAAACCTAGTGGGAGTATCCCACTCACATCCTGGGCCATCTGACCTCAGGAATTCGCATGATAAGGTGGGGCCAGGTTTCACAATGAACCACCCGAAACCCTGGCTGATTGGGACCCACACCCAGTTTCACACCTTGGCTCAGGCGATTAGAGGATCATCAGGGGGTCCTTTTGTCCCTCTGTGGGGGGATACTCCCACTAGGTTTAATCTGGGACTCTCCACCATTTGACCTTAGAACTGAAGAAGCTTCTCGGATGAGAGGTGAAACGTCTTCAAGCAACTTAAAGAAGTCCAGACGCTTTTCTTTGCAAGGTAGGAGCAGTGGTTGAGATTGATGTGGGGCAGGTGAAGAATAAGTCATAGTCAAAGCCCGGGGAGGTGTAGGTAACAAAGCCTGGTGGTGTTCCGGTCACGGTGGCACTGATCCAGTTTTGGTACTGGGACACACGAGCGTAGACTCCTGTTCTACTAGGTAGGGTGCAGCCATCACCAAAACTCAGAACTCCACTCTGGATCTAGATACCTATATTATTTTTTGTCACAAGTGGTACCCCCTGAGTATTCCTGTAAAAAATGTGTAAGTTCTTAAAACAGACTTAGATCAGTTGAACATCTCATGGAACTTAATTTCTACTAAATGCATAAAATGGTTCTGGAGCTGTTCGTGTTAACCGTCAATCAGACACACATAACTTGTACTGATTAGTTATAGTATCATCCAACACTCTCACCTTCACATGATTAAATCGTTTTTAGTCACTAACAGAGAGTATCACAAAACTTTTTCAAGGTATTTGGTTTATAAAAGAAATGAAATAAATCTAAGTGAAATGATGTATGAATAAATGAACTTGAACAAATAAAGGCCTCTTTTTCACTCGTGCTCAGTGTGGACTCGACTCTACTCAGTTTTGGTCATTTTGTCGTACAGTTGATTGTGCATTGGGTCATTATAGCAATGGGGCCAAAAGTCCAGTGACATCATTTGTATACATCACGGCCAAAAAAACAACCAAAACACAACAATGGAGTATGGGAAGCTCATCTTGCAACTGGAAGGTTGGCAGTTTGATCCCCTGCTCTGTTTGTCTCGGTCATTGTGCCCTTGGGCAAGAGACTTCACCTATTGCGTGAAAACTGAGCTGAGTCAAGTAACTGCTAATGGAAAAGGGCTATAATGTTAATAATCATAAACACTACAGAAAAACAGTGAGTGGTTGAAAGCTGATACTCAATGCAGTCAATTAGGCTTTACATTACAAATAAGCACAAAGTGGTAGTCACCTGACATGAATCTTTTTTCAATCCAGCACAGATCAGGTTATCTGTTATTGCAACCAAGTTTTGTAAGTCACAATTGCACTCATTGTTTCCCACTATTGGTACATTCACCTCCTGCAGAGTCTCTGGGGTGGAACCACCACCTAATTGAGAAATTTTTAAAAAAAGAGCATTTTTACATGTATCACTAATATAAAAGAAAAATATATATTTTATAAATTACTTGATAGGTCACCAAAGCCAGTGACCCAGCTGCTGGTGCCATTGTAGAAAGTGCTGCCTGCTGAGGCTAAGCAGACTGGCTGAATGTAGTCTGTGAAATTCACAGGAGTCGACACCTGCAGGAGGCACATGTCATTCTCATATGTTAAAGCATTGTAGTCGGGATGGAAGATGATGTTTTCAAGTGTCACAGTAACTGCATTTGGAGTAATGAAGTGAGCAGCTGTCAGCACCCACTGGTCGGTGATTAGGGACCCTCCACAGGAAAAAAAAGCCAGCATTGGCTAAAGATGCCTTCCAGGGGCTTCATCTTCACCTCCTACGATTCTGCCATTTTTATTAGCCCTGCCACATGCTGACAGAAGAAGACACAAAAGTTCAATAGTGAATACGATGATCAGCCTGGAACTGTAAATTACTAATACCATTTACACTGTAAATTTCAAAAGATTATGAAGGGAAGCCGCAACTACTCAAAAAAAGCTTTTCATTGTTTTCGTTGCCATCTTGGCACATATGTAGCTCAGACAACAACAGGTGTGGGTTTAAATAAAAATAAAATAAAAGACCCAGCCAAAATTGTTTTCTTGCTGAAACAAATGAGTTACAGTAATGTTTGTTAACTGTATTTACAGCACATCTGAAATGGGGAATCGTGCAAAATTGTTCTTGGATGCTTACCAGGATGCTGTGAATGAACATCTGAAAATTGGAACACAAAGACCGATATATCAAACCAGTGGTATTGCACGTCATTACTACTGAAATTCTATTTAAACCCAACTAATGTGAAATTACCTCACTTTTTAAAGAAATTATGTAAGTAATTAGTACTTATTTAATTAGTATCATTAACTACTATTACTTACAAATTTAAAAGAGAAATTAGATAATGAAATAGAGGTGACAAGAGCAGAACTTAAAAATGTCAAAAAATTATCTTTCCTATCTTACAGAAATGTACAGGCAGGATACATTTCATAGTATCCAGAAATATATTTATATTTTTTAGAGTATAAAACTCTTTGATATCTGTAATTAAACTTTCCACACTTCATGTGAACTATGTCATAAGAAAAATGTTTAACAATGCAAATACAACTCAAACTTTTCTCTCACCTTTGCCAAAAAGATTGATCATCACAGATGTTTGATGAAAGCTCAAATGATTCACACATTCTTGGAAATACACACTGGGATTCATAGAAATTTTATGTAAGAGAAGAAACTATTCTAAAGGCTGTGGTTGGAGGTTGTTTTCTCCAGCCTGGAGGTGGATGTTGGTGTTACTATAAAATCTATCAACTTAACATGCATAATTTATGGCTTTAAAACATTAACTAGTATGCAAAATAAGTAAGCAAGTACGTTTTGATATTTTCATTTGTTTTTGTTTTTTTTTAGATTAAGGCAAAATAATTTCATTAAGGCTTGGCATGCTTGTAATACTGACAAACTCAATTGGTGCCACAAGTGAAAACAGCATACTGCACATACATACAGTCCCGTTAAAACGTTTAAGATCGCATGAAAAATGGCAAAAAAAAATCATATTTGCATGATTGTATCTAAATAAGATTCCAAGCAGAGCTTCAAAATGCAACAACAAGAAATGAGAGTGAGACAAAAAAAAATGTAAGCATGCAATTTCTTGAAAACAACCCTTAAACAGAAACAGGCTATGAATCCACATTTCTGCACAGATTTGGCGTGTTAAAGGCATGTGATCTTAAACTTTTGATCAGCTGTAAAACAGCCTGTTTCAGTTCAAGCATTCTTTTCAATAATTGCATGCTCAAAAAAATATTTTGTCGTCATTCCCATTTCTTCTTGTTGCATGTTGAAGCTCTACTTGGAACCTTATTAAGATCCAAATGCAAAATATGATTTTTTAGCTATTTTTTAAGTGGTCTTAAACTTTTGATCGGGACTGTACAACATTTGTTGTAAACTGCTTTCAAAACCTGTATTGATGAAAGACCAAATTATGGTGAAAAATCCACCATATACACGTTTTTACTTTTGGCTCTAACAGCGGGCCTTGGATCACAGCTGGACTGGCCATCGGATATACAGGGCATTTGCCAGGTGGGCCAATTGTGATTTTTCTTTTTCATGGGCCGATGTTTTTTGTTCTTTTTATAACAGTATAACAATGAAAGGTGGTGGATGAGCCAATTGGTCATGATTGACTCTGCGCTGGACCAATTACAGCTGAGGAGATCGAATGCACCCTCCCCCTTGCTTAGGTAACGGCTCTGAAAGCAATCTTATCAAGACAGACTATGGCTTTCTCTTTTTGTTTATCGCCCACTTTGCGCCAGAAAGAGGAAACCAGCGGATGTCGCGCTAAACAACAGCAGCATGTTTAAGCTTGATAGCTGTTGTTAGAATTTATTTAATATTAATTTCTAGTATCAGCTGGTGTTTGCTGGAGCCTGTTAGGATTGAAAATGTTTAATTTCTCTTACTAAAATAAGGGGATAAAATCATTTTCACACATTTACTGCAAATGTCCTCATTCGAGTTGGCAGTCAGTCTTTAAAGGTGAGAAGCTTCGTTCCGCGTGATTGTCCAGACTGATATATTGTAGTAAATAACTTAGAGTGCAGAAGGGTAATTGCAAACATGCTTACACACATAGATTATGATTATAATAAGTCAGAGAGATCCAAACATGATATTCTAAACCAGCTTTGGATCACTAGAAGAATAATAGAATAGAATAGAATAGAATAGAATAGAATAGAATAGAATTCAACTTTATTGTCATTGCACATGCACAGGTACAGGGCAACGAAATGCAGTTTGCATCCATCCAGAAGTGCTTTAGTGATATAGATATATTACAATATATATTAGCAATAATATAGATATGTGAGTATATTACAGAAATGGGTCTATTATGGTATGTTATAATGTACACGGTATGAAGTATGTTGTGAATATTCTATAACTATAAGTATGTACAGGCTGTAGTGAGTACAAGCTATGTACAGGATATGAACAGGATATAAATATGAAAAACTATACAGAATATGAAATAAATAACTTTACAGAAATCTGAGATATACAGCTATACAGAAATGGGAACTATGCAAGTTGTAAACAGTTGTTTACACAACTGAACACACTGAGATAAGACAGACCTTCAAAGTAAAACAGGAAACACATAACAGTCACACCTAACACAAAACACTGATAACATTGGATCGTAACAAGGGTTAAGCAATTTTGATAGGAAACTGCTTAATTTTAGAAATGTTTTTGCTCTTTTTTGCTCTATAAAATAGTTGTTTTCTTTTAGAATCATTCATCTTAGCAGTAGGATTTAAATACAGAAACCATTAACCCTTTAAGACCTACCATAGAACCAAGTCCGCCAGAGCTTATATTATATTTTTACATGCTGTGGAGCCATTTTTGGGAGCATTTCAAGTTGCTATACATCAATACAACCATTATAGCCCAGATTTTAATAATATGTATTCATTAAGTGCATAGTAATTACATAAATTGCAAAAAAGTGCAATAAACTACAAAAAAATTGAAAATCGTTTTTGCTTTTTTAACATATATTTCTAGTTAGAGAAATTTAAGAGGCTTATCCCTCAAAACTGTAAATACAAAAAAGTTGCACAAAATAGTTTCCCACCACAGGAAATTTATTTTGAGTGTCTTCATAGTTTTATTTTTGAAATACACCAATTTTTATATACTGCAGGAAAAACGAAAATAAATATTATACTGCAAATTTGCAAAAAAGCAGCATATGCATCAAAATAAACTATTTCCAGCAGTGCAATATGAGTCCTAAGCATCCCAGAAAAGACACAGAAAGTCATAAAGTCAAAGATAACTTTTAAAAACACCAGTATAGGCCCTGAGGCCCTGATGGTAAAAAAAACTACATTTCCGCGAAAATGACGTCACTTCCGGTTTCGGGCAGGTAATGGCGGACATGCAAAAGTTCGCGCTGACGTCTATTCCAACGTAGGAAGTGTTATGAACAGCTGATCGGATCGGCAAAGCGTGTTTCTGGAATATTATGTTTTTGTTGCTGCAAGTGCTTTTTATGCAGTTTTTGCAAAGCTATATGTGGAAGGAAACCGTGACCTAGGACAAGCTGATGGCATAAGATGTAAGTACAACTCCTCCAGTTTCATATGCAAAACAAATTATTGCGCTAGCTTACGTGGTTGCAGAGCTACCGGGATTTAAAAATAGTTACGCAAAACAGAGCGTGCCCGCTCTGACCGGCTCTAAAGGGCTAAGTTTGAGTGAAAATGTACATTTTTTGCATTCTCTGGTCAACTGACTCAGTGAATCAAATGACTCAAAAAACCCGATTCACTTTGTGAGTGACTCATTAAAACTTGATTCAGTAAAAATAATCAAATTTACCATCACTAGATTCCATTCACGCTCGCAGAAGGCCTTCAAAATAAAGGTAACCAGAGCCTGTTTTCTATCAACGAAATCTGCAAAATTTTGCATATAACAAATTAAATGTGAGCGGTGAGTAGTTGAAGTTCTCTCAGTCAAAATTGAATAGAAGTTGAATCAAAATTAATAAAGTGTTCACGTGATAAAATACATGTACAAACTTGGAACAAGTTTTTCTAAGGGTTAAAAGATATCAAAGGGTAAAAGAAAAACGCAATTAGTTCCCGGTACAAGCAACTTTAAAACATCTCCAAGATGAGGCTAGAAGTTGCAGTATGTTGCACCTAAATTCCACATTTAATTCAAAAGAACCTATGCAGCGTGGTACGGAAGAGGATTAGGGCCACTGGAAAAAGTGGGCACCTCTTTTTTTTCCCCGAATTCTGAGGTTAAAGTCAGAATTCTTTTTTCTCAGATTTTTTTTCCAGTGGCTTCTCTCTAACTAATCCTAAGTGTTAGGATGTGTGAAACTGGCAGTTGTCACTTTTGTAAAGGCAATATGAGTGCCAAAAGGTTCCGAAAGGCAACACATGTGATGTGATATCATCCAGATGATATTGATATTGATAGATGTTGACGCTAAATCACATACTGCATCTGAACAGCATGGCTTCATAACAGGAGAGTCCAGGAGCTTAACTAGCCTGATGGGAATTCAGGCTCTTTTAAGAAAGTCAGTTCTTATGGCTTGACTCACGAAAAAGAGCTTTATTGGCTCCCAAGCAGCTTTTCAAATTTTTGGATTCTTGATGTAAAATTATGTGTATAATGAATAATGTATGGCATATACATTGTAATAAATGTTTATTATTTATATGGCTTAGTATACTCAGCATTTAACAAAAAATACATTTTAGAATAACAAAAAAGATACCCATTTCAATTTGACAAGATCCAGTGTTTCATTGGAATGACGTGTTAACATTTCATCTCATTTCTTTAGATCTTTATATCATGATATATATTAGTGAAAACTCTTAATTTGTAAAGTAACTACAAACTCAAGCTCTAAGCTCCTCTAAGTTAAATTTCTAGTTAAAATTTGGAGTTAAATTCCTCCACTTCAAACAAGCACATAGAGCAACACAACAAGAACACAGAATGAAGTGAAGTGAGTGAAGTGGATCAAGTTTTTACCACTGCAAAACAAATCATCACATAAGGTGGTAGAGGGAGGAAAAGTGAAAGGAGTGTCATCTGTGGGGAAAGTTGTAGGAATAGCTGATGTTGGGCAGATGAAGTCTAAATCACTGTCAGGGCCCAGAGAGGTGTAGGTTACAAAGCCTGGTGGTGTCCCACTGACGGTGTTGTTGATCCACTTCTGGTACTGGGACACATGAGCGTAGACTCCAGGCTTCATAGGTTCAGCGCAGCCATAACCAAAACTCACAACTCCACTCTGAACCCAGACTAAGTCTTTCTTCGTCACAGGTGGTCCTCCCGAGTCTCCTTGTGAAAATTTTGTAAAAGGTTTTTAAGACGGATAGGTATTAATAAAATTTGGTCCTCTGTTGGGATAAACATCTTTTGGATCTTAAATGCATAAAATGAAGCCTGAGTTGTTTTCATCATAAGTTAATCAGACACATGTGGTTTTGTAAACCAGGTCTGTAACATAATGATTCATAATTCATAATATCTTCCAATTTTAAATGTGATAGAAAAAAATCTAAAGTGTTCTATGAAGACAAAACATTGGATTGAAAGTGACATATGACTGGCAGAAAAATTGCATTAATTATGAACTTACTGATTAGCTACAGTAACACTGCTAATTATAATTTATTTTGAAGCCAGTTTAGATTTAGCTCATTGGTGCAGGCCAACGAGCTAAATCCTTTTAGTAACATGATATCAACATAACATAGCATTGACAGAATTTTTTTTTTTGAAAATGAAACAGATTAATAATAAATGAGATTGAAGAAATCAAGACAGATCTTGATTTAAAATATCAGTAAATACGGATACAACAACAGAGAAACCATAATCCAAAGTTTTGCTAACAACAATATAAAATCTTCATGGTTGTCAATAGGCCCTTACATTACAAAAAAACAAAAAGTTGGTGGTCACCTGACATGAATCCTTCCCTCCCCCTTTCAGCCCAGCACAGATCATGTTCTCTGTAATCTCAGCAAAGCGTTTGCACTCGTAGTTTCCCACTATAGGGACATTCACCTCCTGCAGAGTCTCTGGGAAGGAACCGTCACCTAATTCAGAAATTTGAAAATTAAGCCTTTTTCACTTTTTCACTAACACTGTTTATTTTCTTTCTTTTAACTTACCAGTTTTATCTCCAAAGCCAGGGACCCAGCTGCTGGTCCCATTGTAGAAAGTGCTGTTTTCAGATGCTAGGCAGATCGGCTGAATGTAGTCTGTGAATTCCACAGGAGTAGATAGCTTTACGAGACAAATGTCATTGTCTTTTGTCGAGGCGTTATACTGAGGATGGCAGATGATATCTTTCAACGTCCGATCCACTTGATTCGGGTCTGGACCGGAAAGATAGTTGCGACCTAGATACACGATTGTGCTGTTGCAATCAGAACTTGGGAAAATAAGTTATGTTTAAGGCATTTTTATGTTGATTATTATCTTTGTTACCACAAATCAGACCAGTAAGAGATGATGATCACAGTGTCACTGAATATTTTTATTAAAAATCTGTATGTCTATTGTAGTCGACCAAAAAGAATTTCATGAGTGAGCGTTTCCTATTTATCCATTTAAAGGCTTTCTTCTTTGGTTTGTGTGTAAATTATTATTCTTACAGATCTATTAGGGTTTGTTTTTTTTTACTATATTTGGGTAAAGCCGGGTTTAGCAGAATCCCTATTTAAAGTCTTTAACATGAGCTAAGCTAATGGTCCACTGCCTGTCACTTCACATTTGATGGAAAGACATTTCATGTGTTTCTCATCTGACTCTGGCTGCTATTCAGTGTAGTCACAAATAGATCACAACATTACGATCAGAACACATTCATGTTTACATTATGCAGATATATGTTACTACCAACTGTGAAATGGATCTCAGTAGCATCATTAATATCAAAATGTAAACTTTGAATGTTAACTCACGGTGTAATGCAGTGAGCAGCTGTCAGTACCCACTAGTCAGTGATCAGGGATCCTCCACACAAACTTTCATCAATGAATAAAGTTGCCTGCCATGGCCAACTTCCTGGGGATGCATTTTCACCTCCCACAATTCTGCTGTTTTTCACAGCCCTGCCGCACTCTGACAGAAAAAGAAAAGAAAAGAGTTAAACACTGAGTACACCGATCAGCCACGACATTAAAAGCACTCAGAGGTACCGCCCTGCATTAGGATTGGCTCCTCTTTTACGTTTACATGTGGACGAGGAATACAGAGTTCGTCATGCAACGTCAAAGATATGTGCCTCGTCACGCTGTGCGCCACATTATTGTTTACATGCGATGAATTTCTACAGTGGCAGATAGAGACAAAATACTGTTACTGTTAATCTTACTATTTGCAGTTTTTACACACTTACATATAAACACGCAGTTACTGTCACTCCATTTAAAAAGGCAGAGGCATCATGCTGTAATTGTTTTATGTCTAGTTGTGTTTTTTTCGTCCTGTGTAATAATATTCAACATTGCTATCAATACATTTTTCAAAAAATGCCTCTCTGTGCAAAATGGGTTCAAAAACATAAACAGCTGTGGGATACTGTTTGTCCGTGATTTGGACCAGGAGCTCAAATTAAGCAGGATCAGCCTGATATTATTTGTATCCCACTAGAATGTGGGATATAAATAATATCCCACTAGAAAGAACTAACTACTCCAAAATTTCAGGAGTAGTTAGTCATTATAAGAAGTGTTTGTGAACTAAAAATCAAGAATGTGGGATATTGTTTGTCTGTGATGTGTAGAGCCCAGCGGGTGCTCCCGGAAAACCAAGTCTGCAGGGAAGACCTACCTTGGTACTTGGGCAGGTGAAGCCAAAGGGAAGATATGCTTCACCATATTTTCTAGTCTTTGGCTTTGAAGGAAGTTGATTTGGAAACATATTTGGCGATGCTTCCTCTCCTGCTTTGCGCTTGTGTGGGAGTGTGTCCAAGCACTGTGAGAATCATGTTCTTTGATTTCTCCAGTGCCTTCAACACTATTCTTCCCTCGGTTCTGAAGGACAAGCTGGTGAACTCTGGAGTGGACCCTCACCTCATTACCTGGATCCTGGACTACCTCACCGACCGACCACAGTATGTGAGGACTCAGGGCTGTGTGTCGGACAGGGTCGTCTGCAGTACGGGGGCCCCACAGGGAACGGTTCTGGCTCCGTTCCTCTTCACCATCTACACTGCAGACTTCTCCCACAATTCCACCCAGTGCTTCCTGCAGAAGTTCTCTGATGACTCTGCAATAGTCGGCCTCATCACTGATGGGGACGACAAGGAGTACAGAGGTCTGACCCAAGACTTTGTGGACTGGTGCCAGCTGAACTACCTCCAGATCAACGCCAGTAAAACCAAGGAGCTGGTGGTAGACTTCCGCAGGCACAAGCATTCTCCACTGCAACCACTGAACATCCAAGGTATGGACATTGAGGCTGTGGACAGCTACAGGTACCTTGGTGTTCATCTGAACAACAGACTGGACTGGACTCATAACTCAGACGCCCTCTACAGGAAAGGGCAGAGCAGGCTGTACCTGCTGCGGAGACTCAGGTCGTTTGGGGTGGAGGGCCCACTCCTGAAGACCTTCTATGACTCTGTGGTGGCTTCTGCTATCTTTTATGGTGTGGTCTGCTGGGGCGGCAGCATCTCTGCTGGGGACAGGAAGAGACTGAACAGGGTGATCCGAAGGGCCAGCTCTGTTCTTGGATGCCCTCTGGACCCAGTGGAGGTGGTGAGTGACAGGAGAATGGCGGCTAAGCTGTCATCCCTGTTGGACAACGTCTCCCACCCCATGCAGCAGACTGTGACAGCACTGAGCAGCTCCTTCAGTGGGAGACTGCGGCACCCACGGTGTGGGACGGAGAGATTTCGCAGGTCTTTCCTCCCCACTGCTGTCAGACTCCACAACAAAGACTTTAACTGAACAAACACACACATCCACACATGTGCAATAACACTAAGTGCAATAATCTTTTCTGGCATCGTTGTATTATACTCAGTTGTATATAGCATTCGTATTCTATTTTTATCTTATTGTATATTTTTATTCTGTTTTATTCTACTGTATATAGTATATTATTTTATTCTATTCTGTACAGCTGTGTACTGTATTTATTCTTATTGTATTCTAATTTTTGCGTCATAACTTTTGCACTGTCCACTTCCTGCTGTGACAAAACAAATTTCCCACGTGTGGGACTAATAAAGGTTATCTTATCTTATCTTATCTTATCTTATTCTGGTATTTAACCCTGACTTTGTATTAATCAGACGCCGATGGAGACATGGAGTCGACAGGCATTGGTCTATTTTGCTGAATTACTCCACGAATACAATTTTAAATGATTTTACCCTAAACAAAGTGCCTCCCATATTTATATTCCAATGGTAGGGTCAGAACTGGACATAAACATCATGAAAGCATGGATCTGTCCTGCCTTGCATCATTGGTTCAGGCTGCTAGTGATGCAATGGTGTTTGGGATGTTTTCTGGTTTCTCGAACATGACAGTGAGTTCACTGCACTCAAATGGCCTCCACAGTCACCAAATCTCAACCCAACAGAACACCTTTGGCATGTGGTGGAAGCATAGAGTCACATCAAGCATGTGCAGCTGATAAAGCTGCAGCAACTGTGTGATGTACATCAACATGGACCAAACTCTCTGAGGAATGTTTCTTGCACCTTGATGAATCTGTGCGATTAAGAATTAGGGCCGTTCTGAAGGCAAAAGGAGGTGAAATCTAATAATTCACTAAGTATATTTTAATTAAACTGCCTTTTTGTTTATGATTTTGTCAATATGAAGGTCATCTATAATATAGACCTGTAGAAGTAACACATGTAATACTTAGTATTCTCTTAGTAACTCTTAGTAATACATGCAGTAGGGTATTTGCAGACAAACATATCGGCTATGTGTGATGGCTTTGACCACAATGGAACTCTTTGTGAACGTATTGCAACATATTGCTGATTTTCTTTCATTAACAGTATCATTTCCTCTCAAAATTAACATATCACACCATTTAAAATGTGCTTGTTTTCACAATTCTTTCATAAGTGTTGAAGAGATTTTTTTTTCTTGTTGAAACACATGAGGGCAGTGTTGTTTATCGTCTTTATGCACAGTATAGCTTAGTGGAGTAAACAAAAAAGAATAAAGTTGAAGCTTATCAAATTTGTAAAATTGGTCTTGGATGCTTACCAGGCTGCTGAGAATGTCCATCTGAAAAGTGGAAAACAAAGATAAAAATGTTATGTATTATAGATCACGACTGGCATTTTTGAGCAGAAAGTAAATATGTGAAAGTTCAACTTAGATTTATGGTGTTGCTCATTATTCCAACTTCCAGAAATGTTTACATACAGAAAACATTATGGAAAAAACAGGTGCAGAGTCAATGTAGTTTTTAATTTTACATATATTTAAATTCAGTGTCTGATTTAATTTCCAGAGTTGATTTGTTCATTTGTGTTTAAATTTAATTAGTCTAAATTAATCAGAACTCAAACTAAGACCATTCTTTATTTTATTTTTTTTATTTATTTTTTCCAACTTCACAAAATTCTTTCAGTTTTTTTTTTCAAATTGTAGACGGCATTTTTATATTTAGGTTAGTAAAAGGCCTTTTCACATCTAGTTTTACTTTTTAATTTAGTTTCATTTAACTAATAATAATGTTGGTTGGTAATGCTGATCATCCAACCAGAACATTTTAAATTAAAATTTACCAAAATAACTGGTTTGTTCTTGTCATTCACACTATCTGCCCTGCCAGTCTACGCATACTGCTAATGATATAAACATTAGTTTCAACATTATAACAAGTGTTCAAATAATATTGTAGATATGCCACACATTTTTCATAAATACAACACTGGTTTACTGTTATTCACTAGTTATTAAAAATTATTAACTGCAAACAAAGTCTCAATGGAAATTTAACTTTGAAGTTATCCATTATTAACATAACTTAGGGTTAAATATGTTACTGACTTTAGCACTATTTTAACTGTACTGATTTTCCACTTGTGGATATGCATTAAAGTTTCAAAGAAAAGGCAAAAACCTAAAGAATCCCAAGTAACTAATCTCATTTTAACATATCACTGGTTTGATATTTAAATGATAATAGAAAACAAAACTAAAAGAAACATAGTTGGTTGCAAGGAATATGGTGATGATCAAAACTAACCGTGCCTTGATCTAGGTCAGGAGTCGGCAACCTGCGGCTCCGGAGCCGCATGTGGCTCTTTTGTCCAGATGGTGTAACCATGGGTACATCGCTATGAAAGAATAGCTCTGCAACAGATACATTGAGCTGTTAGCTGTTAGCATGCGGGGAGGCAGTCTGTGACTCTCTGTGGTCAGCAGACTGCAAACCCAATCTCTGAGAGCCCTTTTTATAATATCAGGGGACTATAATGACACATCGCTCGACTCCACACTGTTGACCTTCCAACCATACATACATTGGGTCGACAGGTCAGCTTTAAAGAAAAACATTAAAATGTACAACAGAATAGGGGAGTCGAGGAGAAAAATGATAACTCTATTCAGACTGAACTCCTGATAGGGGATCAGTGTGAGCATCCAGTCATGCGGAATGACTGCGCTGGTCCAGTCGACCTGCCGTCTACATTGGGTAGGGGGCAAGCAGCAGAGGCCTTTGGAATGGGGGACGGGGGTGAGTGCGTAACTCTGGTAAATGGTAAATGGCCTGTATTTGTATAGCGCTTTACTAGTCCCTAAGGACCCCAAAGCGCTTTACACAACCAGTCATCCACCCATTCACACACACATTCACACACTGGTGATGGCAAGCTACATTGTAGCCACAGCCACCCTGGGGCGCACTGACAGACGCGAGGCGCCACCAGGCCCTCTGACCACCACCAGTAGGCAACGGGTGAAGTGTCTTGCCCAAGGACACAACGACCGAGACTGTCCGAGCCGGGGCTCAAACCGGCAACCTTCCGATTACAAGGCGAACTCCCAACTCTTGAGCCACGATCGCCTGTACAGCCACGATCGCCCGAACTCTGTACGTGCATGCATGTGTGTATGTGTCCTGTGTTCAGCTTGACAGAGTGACCTTCCAACCAGTAAAGTGAAAGTCAACAGTCCGCAGCCAATGCAGGTCACCTTGGGAGGATATGGGCATAGAGATTCATAACACAGTCTCATGATCAAGAATCGGGCTGTCCTGAACCCAGGCTTCTCGTTGAGAAAGGGGTGCCAATTGCGTTGAGGGACCAGTTAATCAAATCAATATTCTTTAGGTTTTAGAGAACAAGACTGAGAGACTCTCTGAGGATTCAAGTTAGACGAGACTAGACAAAAGAAGCCAAGCAGGAAAGACAAGGTAAGAGCCAATGTAAGAGGATCTGCTGGCACAAGTTGGATATGACAGTGTGCTTTTATTCACGAATGACTCAGCTCTGGGTGTTACTATGGATTTAATTTGTTGATATTTTAAAAATCTATTCTTGTTAAACCCATATTGTATAACTAATTTGTTAAACTGAATAAAGTCTGTTCTTTCAAATATATGCTCCAAATATGTTATTTCTTTACAACTCCAAATAGGAAGTTAATCACATTATTGTTCTGTAGTATGTCAGGGTTGTTCCAAATGGGTGTACGTTTGCATGGGATAATTGAAACTTGGTCATGGAAACTCCCAACATGCTGTCAGAGAGGAGCTGATGTTGATGCTTTTAAAACATACATGAGAGAGAGAGAGAGGGAGCAAAAAAATATAGTGGCCATCCAATCAATAAAATAAAAAATAAAATAAAATAAAGCCAATGTAGCTTCTGTTTGCCTGCATTCCCTTATGGTGATTTCACATTATAAAGTAGTCTCTTACACTGTTATTAAATATGGATCTCCAGCCTGCATCCATGCACTTCATGGATGATTTTTGTGGTTTCCAGTAGCTTATGATATGAATAGTAGCATTTAACAGGGTACATATTACTCTAAGCATGGCTTGAATAGGCTGGTTTCTACTACAAATCTATTCTCTTTCATATAAAAGCAGCTCTCTTACTGGGCAAGTTTGCTTTGTGTATGGAGTGGAAAGGTGATTTTCCAGTGTCTGTATTGTCTGATGTGTTACAGAGGACATGGATCATCAACCAATCCAGTGAATTCAAATCAAATGAAACCAATCAGCTTCCTCTGCTGTCTTTTCATTTAACATGCATCATTTGCGGCACTGCCTCTTTGTGTTTAGTTAATAAAACAATGTTGTGCATGTTTCTTCTCTTATGTGCTTGTATCCTTTCGGCGGGGACTGGTCTGCAGTGCCATACAGGGAAGGCGAACACACCTGCACGGCATCCGTGGACTTAAAATCTATACTGGGTCCTATCATGTTGTTGTTGTTGACATTTGGTCAGCTGGCGGCTGAAATGCTGCAGCCGTGTGTGTGTTTCTGAACAGCAACCGTGCATAAAGTATGCTGGAAAGCAGTAAAATGTGATTTGGTCTGCCATGGATATATTACAGTGATGCCGAAACCCAGGAGGGGGGCGCGGCAGACCCAGGACAGATCAGCAAAGGGAGCAGCTGGCAAAAAAGGTGGCCGAATTGGTGGCCACACACAAGGAGCAGGTGGCAGTGTATCGCTGCTGGGGGGAAGAGCCACAGGACTGATCCAAGTGCCACCTGCAGTTTATGGCAAGTCTGGCAGCTTGGGTTGGTTCCCAGCTGACACCGCCGCCACTACCACCGGCGTTCCCCAACAGTTCTGGCGGTGGAGGGCCACACATGCCTGTCCGCAGTGTGCGATCAGCCAAGATGCAGCCTGCAGCTATATATGTCCCCACTCCATGGGTGGGAGAGGCTAGTGGCCAGCAGGTGCCTGCACTCATCCCAGCACCGTGGAGTAACTACCGTGCCTGCGACCTGCACCAGCAAGGAGCAGTGGAGGAGCCGGAGGTTCAGGAATGGAGGTTCCCATGCCAGGGGAGCCTGCACGTAAGCCCGAGGTCGGCCTGCGGGTCAGACCAGCCTCACCTCCACCAGAGGCTGTGGCGCCTCGTGGTCTCGCGTGCTGCATGCGCACCCGGCTGCCTGTGAGCCTTGGCTTGCCGACACTGCGCTGTGACTGCTTGCTACACGGTCGACCACCGGACCAGCTTCACCGTCGCCACTAGAGAAGTAGTTGGCCATCCGAGCTGTTATCGCCCGGTTGCTGGACCAAAGAATCGCCCCTGGCTCACACTGTTTTGTCAGCCACTGTAAGAGAAGGTTTTCATGGATACAACATGTTTTAACTTTTTACACAAATGTTGACTTCAATTTGTCTTTATATGACTGTATAGATTCATTTCAGTCATTTACAATAACTTGCCTTCAGGAACTCTGGGCGGACCTCATCCACACCAGGGGCTCTGCCACCAAGGAGTTCTTTAACTGCCTCAGTGATCTCACCCCTGGAAATTGGCGGGTCATCCCCTTCATCCCCAGACTCTGCTTCCTGCTCAGAAGACGTGCCAGTCTGATTAAGGAGGTCCTCGAAGTATTCCTTCCACGCCC